CCGCTATTTCCTGGGCTATTAGTAATCTATGTGCAGAAATAACAGAAGTCCACAAACCTTTAGGTAATTTGTTCATACTTCAATAAAGGGAAAACTTTTGGTCTTAGTAACATTTATCACAAATTTAGTACCTTCGTCGCATTTTATAAACCTCCAAGCTGGATTTAAAAGTTGTATTCACCCTATTTCGTTTAAGGTGATGAAGGACTGGTAATATAATTTTTCCACAATGATATGAGTAGAGCTGACGTTTTCATTGAATTTCACATAGCCTTGCTTTCACAAAATTTGTTCTCATCCCGGCTGGAGTTGACTTCAATTTCGACCTCTCATAGGTCTTATCAACACCCCCAGCGGTATTCGAACCATGACAGTACAGAATGTGAGCTTGACACGTTAGCCACTCAGCCGCATTGCCACATTGCCACGAGTGTCCTTGGGTCACAAGACAGATGCGACTTTAAAGAAATACCAGGCCTTTTCCCATATCACATTATTTGGTGGGATTATCGATGAAGTAGACGTATATTTGCTATAACAATCGACTACGTTACTTATCTTCCGTATGTAAGTAGAGTTTCGAGACTACCAGTAAATCAGTAATATGAGATGTATTCAGCCTATTTCGTTTAAGGTGATGATTTACTGCAGTCCACCCTGGGTGGAAACAACTTTTGGGAAAGTAAGGCTATGTGAAATTGAATGAAAACGTCAGCTCTACTCATATCATTGTGGGAAAATTCTACTACCAGTCCTTCATCACCTTAAACGAAATAAGGTGAATACATCTTTTATTACTGATTTACTGGTAGTCTCGAAACTCTAGTTACATACTAAAAGTTGTAGTCAAAGAAAGAATAGCATCAGCAAAGTCGCTAGGCAGTGAACACAAGAAAACGCTTCAGCAGTCCCTAACATAAGGAGGGATCTCATTACTCAAATGGAAAAACCAAGACATGCATGAAACAAGAAAATAATACATCTTTAGACTTGTAAATCTTTTCGTATTGCTATAAAGCGACGAGTTGGATTTATCCATAAGCAGTCGGCTAGTATCATGAAGGCGGAGTGAGTTTTAAATGCCCAAAGGCGGAAAAACAAACGAGGATGGATAAAATATATAAATATGTAAAAATCCACCCTTACTTCGGAAGGCAAGTTCCCTGAGGTGCTGACTCCAGATGTGGCTGAGGTAGCTACTGAGTATTCTGCAACCTCAGCCTCAGTGATCCACTCGGATGAGACAGGCTCAGTTGAAGTGCGTAAGGGACAGCACACACAACCGTATCCAGCCTGGTAGCGGCGTACCAGGTTAACTATGAGGGATAATCCGTAGACAGGAATGGCACGGGCCAAGGTACATGCAAAAAGAGTTATGGCCACGAATCCGACGTGCCAATGATGCTGTCGGAAGGTAAATGTAGAAACACCGATGTAGGCGAAGAGAAAGTTCTCAGCCAGGAAGTTCAGAAGCTCGAAAAACTGGTTGGATAGGATTGGAAAACACAAAAAAAATATTGAAAAAAAAATTGGGATACGCAGAAAAATGCTTTTGGCAAGTAGGGAGAGAAAAATGCTTTTGGCAAGTAGGGAGAGAAAAATTCG